AGGGATCGTGAAGGAATCTTCCAAGAAGCAAATCACTTCGTGCTTGACTCATGCCCGTTTGTCCGGTCTGTTGGTCTTGATGTCAGCAATGGTATGGGGTTTTTGTGGTTACCCAATCAACTCCCATGCTATATAAAAGACTGCAATCAGTTCCAATTCCAAACGGATGAAAGCAATTTGATTCGAGCTTCGAGGGTTGATCAATATGTACCATATTTTTCCAGATCATTTGATTTCATTCCAGGCGTACCAGGTGAGGTTGAACCTGTTGAAGCAGAACCCGAGGTCCGGTCTCCTAAAGGTGCGGTTTCGCATTCAGTTGCAGACGACATTCGTGGCGTTGCTCCAGGTGAGGCTTTGCCAAAGGTTCCTGAGTCTGAGAAGTTCGTGCGTGAACGGGAACTTGCATTGTCCACCAAGCATTGCATGACACATTTCCCTAAGTCCGCACTTTGTGATGTCTGCAATCGTGCTAGGCTGTACTCAAAACGCATCAGATCCCATCGTAGAGCAGATGAAGAGAGTGATCTCCCTGTTCCTGAAGCGTTCGGCCAGCAAGTTGCATGTGATCACATGATCGTTTCTAAATCTTCATCGGGGAAGGAGTTTGTTGTTCTTGTGGTGATGGACTTGTTCAGCAAAGTTTTCCAAGCATACCCCCTGGCAACAAAAGATACTGATTCGGTCAAGGAAGCCCTGAACCATTTTGTGGGTGTAAAAGCCAAGAACCCTCAAACCATTTGTAAGTCAGACTGTGCCAAGGAGCTTCTGAAAGCCATTCGTTCAGTCGGTTGGTTGTCAGACGCATCGTTGCCTAGGAGATGGCCTCACAACAGTGTACTTGAAAGGCAAATCAGGTCCTTTGAAGAGTCTTGCAGAAGCATGCACTTGCAAGCAGGATTCGCGGTGTTTCCAAAGCTTTGGACCTTAACTTGTCAGTACACAGCCGTTTCCATGAGCATTGAGCATTGGTCAAAGGCTTTTGGTTCCGAGTTCAAAGGTGCAGACTACATTTTGGGTCAGTTGGTTTTCTACAGGACAAAGTTTCAAGAGAAGTCAAAACTCGCCCCCAATTCTTCACCAGCCCTAATGGGAGGTTGGAAGCTTGAGTTTGGGTGTCGGTACAAAGGTGTTTTGAGACTTGTGGGTTACAACTCCTTGAAGCAAGGTCATGTTTCCATTGTGGTCGCCCCGGATCAAGAGGTTTATGTTCGTGATGAGCGTGTGTTTCCTTGAGAGATCTTGCAGAGAAGGCATTGCATGACTTCTCGGATCCTGATGTTCGTCAACTCGCTGACGTGGATCCTCTGCCAGTTCCTTTCATTGAGGATACCCCAGAGACTAAGTCTAAAGCACGTAGGGTTTACATCACGTACAGTAGGATGCTAAAGATCGGTCCAACCAAGGGATGCAAAGGTTGTGATGCTGACTCGTCTGCACACAATGCCGAATGCATTGCCCGGTATGAGGAAGCATTCGGTGCTGCTCCTTCGACCCCAGCATCTGAGCCTCCGGTCTTCGAAAGGCCGGAGATCCTAGGAGACTTGATTGACGAAGAGTACACCCCAACTGTCTTGTCAGAGGCCGAAGAGGATGAAGAGGAGATTGTCCCAGAATGTCCTCCCCCCCTGTGATGAGGAAGATGAACCTGAGGGTGATGAAGCTCGTGTCCATGCAGGCATCAATGCCGCCCTTGCCATGTCTCATGATGCCATTTCCAAGAAAGCTCCAGAAACGATTGTTCAAGAAACGTATGCATCAGCAGTCGCTGCAAGCAGTGAGAGCTGTCTAGGAGCAGCCGCAAAGCCTGAGCGTCTGCACAGTCAGATCCACAATTCCCCAGGTGGCAAGATTTTGTTTGAATTTGCCTGTGCCTCAGATTCAGCGCTCGGTAGAATTGGTGAAGAGCTTGGGATTCAAGTTGTAAGGCTTTGTAGAGAACACATAGACCTAGCAAGTAAAGCAAACATCGACCAACTTGTTGAGCAAGTGAAAGCCATCCCTGGTTGTTCAATTCATGGTTCCATTGAATGTGGTCCTTGGAGTGCTTGGCAAAGGTTGAATGAAGCAAAGAACCCCAGATTGACCAACATCCTTCGAGTAGGGAAAGTGTTTCGATGATGCATTCGTTCATCAGGGTTGCAAACCATGTTCTTGATAATGGTGGTTTTGTGTCTTTTGAGTGGCCAAGGTATTGTTCAGGGTGGATGTGTGAGCCCCTAGCTTCCTGGATCACAGAAAGGCAACTGCTGTCTGCCACTTTCGATGGCTGCACCGTAGGAATCACTGCCAAGAACAACAAACCCGCTCGAAAGCCGTGGAGGTTTGTCACGAATAATAAGAGGTTAGCTGATTCTTTGGGAATGTTGAAGTGCACGCATGACAAGCATGCACCCCTTGAAGGGAAGTACACTCGAAACTCAGCTTCCTACCCAGAGCCTCTTTGTCAGATCATGTTGCATGCTTTGTTTCCACATGTCGTCAATGCATGTGTTTTGCACGCCGTGTACACCTCGCGTGAATCATTCACATCGGCAGCATGTTGTCAAAGGGGTGCCATGTGCTCCCATTGATGTCCTCATGCATGAGAGTGGATGTAAGGAGTTTTTAACACCAGCATTCGTTCATCGTCTGTTGGAGCGTGCTGAATGGAAGGGTCGCCCAGAAGTTTACCTCGCCATTAAAAGCGAGAAAGATGGTTTGGTTTTGGAAGGGACTTGGATTGAAGAGGAGATTAGGTCAAAGGCAGACGTGATGAGGGAATTTCCCAATGAAACACTGCACTTCGGAGCCCTAATGGTGATCGTCAGCATAAAGGGGTATGAAAAGAACCCAGCTGAATGGAAGATCAAGGCTCGGATTGTTTTCCGAGGTGACGCAGTCAAGGATCAGGGGGGCTTGAGCGCCATCTTCCAAGATCTTGCTGCTTCCGCTCCGAGTTCAATTGCAGCATTGAACACAGTGATAGCCTTTTCAATGATCGAGGGAAACACTTGTTCAACATCTGATTGCGTCCGGGCCTATATTCAGTCCGCACTCGGCACGAAGCATCGAACATGTGTGATGCTACCGCCTCAGCTCGTGCCGGAATCCAAGAAGCATATCCAAATGCCTTGCGCGCAGCTGTACAAGAGCCTTTATGGCCATCCAGAGTCGTCGGCGCACTGGCAGGCCCATCTTTCCAAAATCTTGCAGGAAAAACTCAACGGTGTCGAGTTCAGTGAGATGCCCTCGGTTTTTCGTTTCGGTCGTTCTCTAGTGATGAGCGTCTATGTAGACGACCTCACACTCTCAGGAGTAGCCTCCGAACACGAAGGATTCTGGAAAACCCTTAAGCAGTATATAAATTTAGATCCACCGTCAGAATATGGAAGAGTCTTAGGACGAAACCATAGGCTTGTGTGGTTTCAAGCGACCAAAGCAGTGGCCTTAGAATCATCTGACTTCGCAAAACAGTGCGTTGAACTGTATGAAGAGCTTGCGAAAACGCCGGTGAAGGCCTATTCCTCACCCTCATGGGACGATGGAGCCCTGATCCCTGCTGATGACGAGATCAAGGGGCAGCTCTCGCCACATTCGGCCAAATTAATTATGAAGTTGATGTGGCTCTGTCGCATTAGCAGACCAGATGTCACATTTGCTGTCACTCTGTTGGCGAAACACATTACGGTGTGGTCGGCCAACGACGACAAAAGAGTCGCAAGACTCATTGGGTACTTGCAAAAGACCCATGAATACTCCCCGATAATGTGCATTCGTGATCCGCCAGAGCAGTTAAACTTGTCTCTATATTGCGATGCCGATTTCGGTGGTGACATCAAATCCATGCGATCAACCTCTGGATTCATCCTTGCGGTTTCGGGTCCCTCCAGCTTTGCACCGGTGAGTTGGGGTTCTAAGAGGCAAAGCGTGGTTGCAAGATCGACCACAGAGAGCGAGTTCGTCTCACTTGCCAGTGCCTTATTCTGCGAGGCTATCCCTACCTTGGAGGTATGGCAAGCGTTGATCCCAGGAATGACCCTGAAGGTTTTCGAAGACAATACGGCCGTGGTCTCGATTATTTAAAAAGGTTACTCCAATAAATTAAGGCATTTGAGTAAAACCCACCGCATAAATGTGGCCTCAACTGCCGAAACAGTTAACAATGCTGATGACATTACAGTCCAGCATATCGAAACGACTCAGCAGAAGGGCGACGTGTTTACTAAAGGATTACCGTTGCCTTGGAGTTGTTGCAGTTCTCCCTGAGTCCGCTCCCGTCTTATGATGCAGGCAGGAGCTCGCATGACTAGAGCTAAGCAATAGTCAGCCGCAGTTCAAAGCTAAGCTAGATCTGCAATGAATGAAATGGTTAAAGCTAAGCGATAACCAGCCGCAGGTTCCAACTAAGTTAGATCTGCCTTGAATGAAAGTCTAGACAATGCATGAAGCTTGCAAGAAGGGTGTCCGACTGCTTAAAGCGCCGCTCCCTAGGTCCATTCGTAAGCCTGTTGTGCTCGCCGGCAGTCTTTCGATAGGAATCGTAAGGTCACAGACGGTTCAATCAATGAAGCGACTGTCTCAGACCTGTAATTCTAGCTGTACAGTTGTTCATCACACTATGAGGGGGGACTTGAAGTTTCCCGTGTACAGTACACCTCATATGTATGCACAGTTCATGAACCACTTGTACTTTTGGCTCAAGTGGTAAAAGGTGCGCCCGCAGCCGCTGCCTCGTCGCGGTCACGGCGTACTCAACTTGTGTTGACTGTTTGGTTGTTGTTGGGTTGGTTTCCACTTCAAGTATATAATATATGATTTTCTCCAATAATGACGTTGACCGAATCTGTTGTGGGCAGCGTCTTTGAGGCACTTTGTGGTGGAATGCGGAAATGTCACAGTTGCCCAATCTCGAAAAGCAGTGATCATGACGATTTAGAATTTAGACGGGTTCTTGAAATGTGCATCCAGGGCTGAAATTGCCGGTTCTAATTGTCTTTCGTCGACCTTTCGCACTCTGAAAGCCTTCCACTCAAATTCGTTGACAGCCTGAGAGCCAACAGCGCATGGCGGTTCATGACCAGAAGGTGGATGTTTCCGTGCAGACAGAGGAGGCGTCAACATCCCTGGCATCTCAGTATCCAGCCAACCTTCTGTACGCGCAGGGCATGTTGAATACCACCCTTCTTCAGCTGCAGCAAGTGGAACTACAGATTTATCAATTGCAAGGCTATGTGCGAGAGCACCAGCTTCGGCAAGCGCAAGCGGCGCAAGCACGGGCGAAGAGGCCGGGGGGCCGCTCAAAAACACCATCTCAGTAGGTTCTTGAAAGCCGCTGCGGGAGCTAATGTTGTTTTGTCATTGTTTCCGCCTGGAGCAGTGACAAATGCAACCAGCAGGGATGAACGGTATCCCAAAAAGGCCAATCTCATCTTCACTTATTTTTGCGGCCGTTCGTTTCCCTCCTCTTCGCCTTCAGAGCAACAATTCTTTCGAGGCCAAAGATTTTCGGCCAAGAAGCAGAGGCACTCTTTGAGGCGGCCGTCGTGCTCTCGGAGATCACCGACGCTGCTCAGGCACACCGCGCGGCTCAGGAGGCACGGCAGGCCGCAGAGGACGAGGGCTTCGCGGAGGCCGATCCTGGAGAGGTCTTTGCCAGGCAGATGCAGAGGCGGATGTTTCCCTTATTTCTGAGGGCCATGGTGGCTTGGCAGACCAAACAAGGCCGGTTGCGAAGCTTGACACGTTTTTGTTTTCCGTTTTCTGATTTGAAGGGTATATGTGGGTGACCAGGAATTTTGAGACAGAAGTATGTTGCAACATAACATAATTCCTTCGTTGGAACTGGGAACAAATTGTGGCCTTTTCAGAATTTTTGTTGGAGGAGGGGTTTTATGGAACCGATTCCAAGAGACTCCCGGGCGCTTTTCTTTTCCATACCGTCTAAGGTTTTGAGCTTTGTGTTGCGGCTCTTTGAGTTGGACTGGTACATCATTTTTGCAGGGAACTGCATCCTTTTCATCAGAGAGTATTGGATGATTGCTGCGCTAACCCAAGGAGGAGCCAGAGCTGGCCAAGCAGGCGGCCAAGCTGCACCGCAACCTGAGCTTCGACATCACCTGGAAAATCAGCAGCAGCCGATGTTGAGGCAACGCTTCAGTATGCTTTTCAAGATTGCTTTGCTGATGTTCCTCATGGAGGTGAGGTGGCATTGGTATGCACCTTGAACTGAAGGGCTGTACTTTTTCCGTGAATACAGTGGGGTGATGTGGGGTGATGAATGGCCAAGCTGGCACCAAATTGGGGCAAGTATAAAGTCAAGAGTTAGGATATGTTAGGATTCTGCACCGCGAAAGGCTGCATACTTGGTGGTGGCACTGTTCTTCCTGTTTGGTGCCTTTGACAGTTGGATTGAGTGGTTCAATGGCAACGGTGGCAATGCCGACAACAACTTGGAACATCAATTGGATGCCTTACGAAGAGCACAGAACCAGCCACAGAGAGAGCCACAGAGAGAGGCACAGAGCGAGGCGCAGAGAGAGCCACAGAGAGAGCCACAGAGCGAGGTGCAGAGAGAGCCACAGAGAGAGCCACAGAGCGAGGCGCAGAGAGAGCCACAGAGAGAGGCACAGAGCGAGGCGCAGAGAGAGCCACAGAGAGAGCCTGAAACTAACGAAGGCAGGGAAGCCACCACAGCAGCTACCAGAGATGCTCGGCAGTCTTCGGATGTTTGTTGTTTCAGCATGTTTCATAGGGTCAATCTAGAAGAGGTAACCGTCAATCAGGCGGAAGACAGGACTTGTTCCTCACACTGGATTCTTGATTTTTGTTTGGGTTTGGTGCAGCTTGAGGATGCAGAGCCACCGGAAGCTCCAGCAGAAGCTGCTCCGCCTGCCGCCCCACCGTTTTGGCAGCGCTTCATTTACCAGCTCTTCATCATGTTTTTCCTGACCTTGATGCCATGGTGGACCCCCAACCCAAGGTACGAGTGTTGGACGTTGAAGTGTTCTTTCAGCTTTGCCGTGCTGTGCTGCTGTCAATATTGCTTCTTGCTGTGCAAGTGTAGGTGCAGCTCCCACTTGTCCCTGAAGGTATATGTGAGCCCAAAGCGGGCATCTTTGCCTGAGGCTTTGGCAGGATGGTTTCGCGAGATCTGCAGAGGTTTCACCAAGGGTCGGATATTGTCTGATGGTCAAAGTGCCACCTCAGGGGTAGTTGACGCTCAGTTGAGTGCTGGGAAATGCCTCCAGTGCATGCACATGTGCTGGACATTGGCTAACTTGTGTGTCATGAGTCATGGGTTGATGATGTTTGCCACCGCCTTCCTGAGGTGCGATTCCATGCGTGTCATCAGCCCCAATTCCAAGTTCCGCATCGCTTGGGACCTCTTTGGGGCTTGGCTCATCTACATGGATGCCTTCGTCCTTCCGATGTGTCCCTCGGCGAGGCAAAATCCCGGGCACTGAGGCCAGCGAGCAAGCAGGGAAAGAGAGAGAGAGAGAACCTCTGTGAGGACATCCAAACTACCAATAACAACTATAAGGGTATATATATTTATAACTATATATATATATATACATACATACGCATACCTGCATATGTGCTCAGCCGAAGCGGGAGGGAATCTCCTGAGCTTTGCTGAAAACCGGACGGTTCTTGGCTAGGCGGCTAGGGGATCTTGAAGGGCGTTTCCCGGACGGTGCTCGTCAAGTCGGCTTGCCCGGCTGGCCCTTGGAAATGATGAAGGCTTCACGCCAGCCTCAGCCTCTGATGGCTTAGTGCCCTGCGAAATTCGCCGACAACCATCTCATGCTGCAGGTATTGCCTGGAACTTGACATTGACTCCATTTCCTACGCCCAATGCTTCTTCAAGCACGATGTTGCACCTGCACCTGCGTCCGAATCAGTAAGCTGTTTTTGCTCCCCTCAAGTGACATGAGCAGACAACATTTTTTTGCTTGCAAATCGACGGAACTGGCAAATTGCCTCATAAGGACTCTCCCCCCTCAAACCAACACAAAGATAGAATATATATCCTGCAGATGAACTTACCGTAGTGGTAGAGGAACACTACATTCCAAGCTGGGTTTGGGGGAGAGAAACTGGACCAAGAACTGAACCGATTTGCTCTTCAGGTTTGCAGCTTTGTCATTTGTCTTCTGGCCTGCTGCATCTTGTCTCAGCATGCGGCTGTGACGTGCTATTGTTGACGCGTATATAGGTGCAACTATTGGAACAGCTTTCTGATGCTTTGTGCAGTCTCCAACTCGCGCGTCATTTGCGGTTGCGAAATGAGCGAGAGAATCGATTCAAAGGACATTTACTTGAACTTCAGCACTGGTTTCTACATGCAGGGCTTCCTCCAGCTATCTCGCAAGGCAACAGTGCGACCGAACACATGCGGGGAAAACAGCCGAGGCCTGTGAATTCTTGTAGGCAGCTGTAACCAGATTCATCCCTAGCCTTCTCAAAGCTTTCGATGCCTTGATCCCGTCCCCCTTTTGAGAACCCTCTCGAAGGGGATGCCCGATTCTCACCATTTCCAGTGGCGCTAGTAGTAGTTTGCAACAGACGTATGTCTATATGTATATTTATTGTTATTAATCATTACTACTACTGCTGCTGCTGCTGCTGCCGCTACTACTGCTACTACTACTGCTACTGCTACTGCTACTACTATTACTTCTTAGTTTTTTAGACATACACAATTGAACATGGCTTGAGTCACGCATCAGTCAGATTTTCTTGAAATGGCTCATGCTCACCCCCAGGCTATTGCGTGTCGCTATTTGAAGACCTGGTTTGTCTATGATTTTTCCACGGTCTCCGTTGACATCGCCGCAGCTTTTTTGGGCTTGGTGGAAGAGGCGAGCAAAACGTGAATCTGGGAACCAAATGAATAGCGTTAGCTATCCTGAGTCCAGTTACAAGAAGCTTACTTCTCCCTTAATTAAGTAGGCGCCTACTCAATTATATAAGTAAGGAGGCAGGCCACAGGCCAAAAACAAAGAGCAAAGTGTGTGGTTTTGAGGGCCTTGAGCATCTATCCCTGGACATTGATGTCCGCGCCAGGAGTCTCAAGAGTTCTTACAGTCACTACGTTCTGCACGCTACCTGCGTGTTTTGAGACGCTTGCAGTGCATATAGTTCAGTTCAGAACAGAAGACGATTCAGAAACTAGCTCCGATTCAGAAAATACGATTCAGAAACTAGCCGATTCAGAAACTGCAGGCAGGGTGTCCCGATTCAGAAACTACAGTGTCTTTGGGTGGTCTGGTGTGTTGTGACGGTTGACCGTGATCAGGTTCCACGCTGGAGTAGCGTGCAGGAAAGAGGTATATAATATGTGTTTTCTTTTGTCTTCACTCATCTTCCCTAAGGAATTATGCGGATCTTTCGAATCCTGAAAGCAGGGAAGATCAATCTTTTAATCGAGAATCTTGACGCTCGGCTGGCTCGGCTCATCCAGGGGTATGAGGAAAGCCACCGTTTCGAACAGACTGGCCGAATCGAGCATCCAAAAGAAGGGTTTCTTGGACTGACGTTGGGCCCGCATGGATCCTCTTGAGATATGCTTCAACCTGTCACTTGTATAAGCCTGTTCAATAATGAGTTTGCTGATTGCTGTACGTAGGGGGAGGTCATGGCGTCGGTCAAAGCATTGCCGGGACGGGCAGTCTGGGACGGGCTGAGGTGATATCAATGGGCCGACAGTGGTTGATTTTGGCCTTTACAGTGGGGCGAATGCTGCTGGCCATCGGCATGGTAGCTCACATTTTGGCGTGCATTTGGTTTGGCCTTGGCCAGGCTGGTCCAGGGTTTTGTGGTTGTGATGATGCCTCCAATGACGTCCAGGGATACGGGAAGGTTTGACCCCGCTTGATGTAGAATGCGATGCAGCATGCACCAGAATTCTAGAAGCTTCACAGTCGAGCAAGCTCAGATCGTTTAGCTAGCAGGCGTCCTTGGCCGCCTCAATCTCCCCAGGCAGTGGATGAAAGCAGCAATGGAAGAAGCTGGCTGCCCGGCTTCATTGTAAAGCCTTTCCACATAGTGTTCCCAGTCTAGAAGGAGAACCAGCAAAGTAGAGCAGAGAGATGCAGAGAGTGTTGGTCATACTGGCGCTTGGCTGCACTCTGAACTGCTTCCTCCAGCTGCACCGCCAACGCAAGGATTACTTTGGCCGGGGTAGAGAATCGCACCGACGTGGGGATCGGAGTGCAATATGTCCATGCGATTGGCTGGATCCTGTTGCCACCTGCGCCACCAACTTTGCACGCTGTCGCTTGGCAGATGGGGTTGTCGAGTTGTAATCAAAGTGGGTTGGTCAGTTGGTATGTCGCGTGTTACGAGGCTCAGGGTCTTTTGGAAGCACCAGCCGTGTATGCCATGTTGAGCATGGGGGGATATGAGGGATAGGCACTCCGAAGCGAAGGCACGCACCCCGAAGCGACTCGAACGCACGCCGAGGACAGCGGCGCAGAGCATACCGTCTCACTCTTGCTGTTTGTCACCACCGCCGAGAGCTCAGCTATTCGCTCACGCAGACACGCATGCCCACACAGCAATAGACTAGGGGTGTGAAGGAAGAGATGTAGTGATAAGGAAAAGGTCTAAAGAAAAGGTCGAAAGATGCCAAAGTCTAATACATAAATCATATATACAGCAACAGTGGAAAAAGGGTCCAAAGTCCAAAGGTCTAAAGACAAAGACGAAGAACGACAAACAGGGGAAAGAGAAAAGGCCTAAAGGTCTAAAGAATAAAGGAATCAAGAAAAGGTTTGGCCTAAAGAAGTGTGGTGATACATGGTGATACTGTGTGAAGGTGGATCCATGGATCCGCCAGAATGTTAAGTTTCCCTAAAATTCTAGGAAACACATCAATAGCGCGAGCTATCCTGCATCCTACCTAGGAGCGTCCTGTACCTACTAGCTACCTTTCCCTTGCCTAATTATATAAGTAGGGAGGGAGGGGGAGCGGGCTAAAAAGAAGAGGGGATATTATGGCGGTTATCTTGTTTTGTGGACGCCAACTGCAGGTCTTGGTGATTGGCTCAGCCCTGTCCATCCTCACTGGCACCCTCCATGAGATCCGGCAGGTAAACAACGAGCGTAGCAGTGCCTGGATGTCATCTCGATTCTTCGTTTTTCTCCGCCATGGACTCTTCAATTCTTCCTGCCTTGGATTTTTGATATGAATTCAAATTCTTCATCTTGAATTCGATGATCTTCATTCATCCCAGGAAAGCGCAGGGAGCTGCGGATCTTTCTCCAGACCAAGGCGGTGCCAACAGAGTTTCGTGGCACCAACAGGGCCGCCGGTGGCCCGAACAAACGGAGCTTCCAATGTTCGGAGCTCGAGGATCAACGGATCACTTGCTTGGCATGAATATGTATGAATCTGTCGAAACAGGTGCTGAACCCTTTTCATAGGTTCGGATTTATTTTAGAATTACGTATCATTTTTCCTTTTATAACCTATGTATGTTTCTTGCTCTTGGCTGCTGTTTTACAAAGGAAAGGTGCAAAAGGAAAAAGGACAACAAAAAAGAAAACGGACAAGCAAAGGGCAAGGAAATGGAAATGGAAAAAGAAAGGGAAAAGGAACAGGGATAAGGTCCAGGTTGACAAAAATCTGAATAACACCGATACCTTCTTACATCTGGCAGCTGTGCCTGGGACTTCACATTCCTCTGATGATGGACTAGTGAGTAACATCCACCCATCACAGCAGAACAAAGGTTGAAATGGTCAGCCTTGGTTGCCAAAAGCCACAACCAATGCAAGCACGATCGTTGCCAACTCTTGGATTCTGAGTGTAGTGACCAGGATACAATAGAAGAGAATAACTGTCATATCATGCCATATCTTGATATATTTAGGGTATATCACGTTCCGTGCAACGGTGTCAAAGCCCAAGCCAACCAAAGCCATGAAAGGCCAAAGCCAACAGAAGCCAAAGGCCGACACAAGCCACCAAAAGCCGACCGAAGCCACCAAAAGTCAACAGAAACCACCAAAAGCCAACAAAAGCCAGAAGCCAACACAAGCCACAAAAAGCCAACCGAAGCCACGAAAGTCAACAGAAACCAACAGAAGCCAGCAAAAGCCACAAGCCACCAAAAGCCACAAGCCCGCAAAAGGCAAAAGCTATCAACAAAAAATACAACATTAAGACACAATAGTTCCAAAATAGATATACACTCCCTTTTCATTGTTGAGGGTTGAATTCCGATCGCAGAAAGGTTCCCTGAAGATTCAGAAGAAAAGGTGGCTAGATTTATGCAACTCGTGCAGGCGGTTCCAGCTTACCTGTGCGTCGCAGCATGAGGTTGTTGATGCGCATTATGAGCTATGCCGACTACAAGATGGCGCGCCAGTCCCCGTGCCTTTCCTGAGAAGGTTTCCAAGAACACTGGAGAAAACAGACGAAACTCTACACTACCTCCCGCTGCAACTCCAGCTACTCTTTGCCTTGAAGGCAAACAAGTCAAGGGTGGTTGGGCCATATTAGGGTCCGATATGCTTTTTTAAGTGCGTTTCTTGAGGATTGGGTATGACACAAGTCTTATCTCGCCTATGCTGGAAGCGGAGTTGGCAACATTTCAGTTCGGAGGCCACTTGGCCATCATTTCTGAGCTGTTCAATGCCCAGGCATTGGTGTTGCCTCTTTGCACCCAGTACTCAGTGTTGATATATGAGTATGGTCACCGACGGATACCATGGCCAAAAAAGGGCAAGACCTTCACACGTGATAGTAACATGTTGCAGTATTGAACGAGCTTGAACCAGCCTGGTGGTAGTGCAAGTCGTATGGCCAAGAACATTTCGCCAACATAGATGTGGAAATCATCGGACAGCATCTTACCAGAGACACGCTGATACATCTGTACATGCAAAAGCTTCGCTACATCCTCAGGCAATCTGCAGAAACATCCCTTCTTCGATCTGACCTCAAATATTTTCCCGCCACTTTGCAGCAGATTGATATGGCTTGAGCTTCCTGAAATGGCAGGACCCTTTTAAGAAGCCCAGGCAGACATTCGCAGACTTCTGCGGTGCTCTTGTCAAGCAGTTCTATAGTGAGGCTCGAAGACAATTGTTGTCCTTCTGAAATGCTCCACATATTTTCATGTCTGAGCGAATGGCTTAGCCTAAGCTTCGAAATCCCAAGACAATGTTGGTTGGTGGACTCCTTATATATCTTATACACGCACACATATATATATATATAATGCTAAGGCAGTGTCCCGTACTGCAGAAAATGTACTCCGAGTGGGAAGACAAATATTGAAACTCAAGGATAGATTGGGTGGTAGAAGAGGTCGACCCACGCCGAGTCAGCTTTGGGCGACAGGGGGAGTCCGTCTTCACTGCGGGCTCTTTGGCAGAGATGATGTACATCACTAGCCATGGGGATTTCTCCTTAGGCTCGGGTATGGCTGGGGATTCTGCGCTTGCTGCTCGGGCCAGTGAGAAGGGTAGGGTCACCATTATTGAACTTTGATGAGATTTGCGGATGTGTGGCCGTTTATGTGTTTATTTACATATATACTCATATCCACACACACACACACACTCTGACATTGGTTTTCCGTTAACTCAATTCCCAAGTGGAAAAAGGTGAGAGAACTGCATGGCGAAAGGTCCAGGAAAGTGTAGGTGTTTCAACAAAATGGTTTTCGCACTTGACTGCGGAAAGCGCACAGCGGCACAGCGGCTGCAGGTCGGCGGTGGGAGAAAGTTTAGGGGAGGTATCGTGGAACCACCATGGAAGCAAACAAGAGAGATTGGAACAGCTTGGTCAAAAGTTAAGCGCAGGTACGTCGAAAGAGCGTCCTCTTTCGATATCCTAGTCTGAACCTGGAGCTTCGTTGGCTCACGCCAGGAACAGACCCGTGAGCCCCCTGCTTGGTAGTACAATTGGTAGGAAGTAGCCGCTTGGAGACAGGGGGTGGCACACACACACGGTGCCGCTTTGCGGCGCTCGTGCGAAGAGCCTGAATAGTTACCTAAAAAGCCTTAGAAACAAAAGAAACACAGAAAGAGCAGCGCTAAGAGGGCAAGAGAGAAAGGTAGGAGTAGAAAAAAGTGAATACTTAGCCCTTGACTGGGGTAGGGAAACGAGCCTCAAGATAAAAAGCCTGAGAGAAAGCCCAAGAAGCGACCAAAAGCGCAAGAAAGAAAGGGGGGGGGCAGGGAGGTGTATGTACATGTGTGTGTGTGTCCGTGTGTGTGTGTGTATGAATACTTAGCACTCTAGAATTACTGATTAAGTGAATTAAATGCAATCAATAGTTAGGGAGCGGGACTTTAGTCTTAGACCGCCCGGGTAGAGAAGACTAGAACAGGGACAACAAAGGGAAAGGCACCGACACACAAGTGTGTCGAGTACCATTTCCCTGTGTTGCCCTAATTAGGTAGGGAGTAGAACTCGGTGGGGGGGGGGTTTGGGAAACCTGCCTCAAGTGGGTTGAATTCCGTTTTTTAGCCCGGCGGCTGTGGTATCCGTGAAAGCCCGGTGGCTCCAGATTCCGACAATTCAGTAGTGAGACTAAGCCTGTTAAGAGAATTCACGATGAAAAACGATGAATCCGTTAGACGATTTCCGGCATGAGAACGGCGCCTCCTTGCGGAGGATCACACCCAGCACCCAAGTGGGACGGCTGAGCGGTTCACACTCTGACATTGGTTTTCCGTTAACTCAATTCCCAAGTGGAAAAAGGTGAGAGAACTGCATGGCGAAAGGTCCAGGAAAGTGTAGGTGTTTCAACAAAATGGTTTTCGCACTTGACTGCGGAAAGCGCACAGCGGCACAGCGGCTGCAGGTCGGCGGTGGGAAAAAGTTTAGGGGAGGTATCGTGGAACCACCATGGAAGCAAACAAGAGAGATTGGAACAGCTTGGTCAAAAGTTAAGCGCAGGTACGTCGAAAGAGCGTCCTCTTTCGATATCCTAGTCTGAACCTGGAGCTTCGTGGAACAGACCCGTGAGCCCCCTGCTTGGTAGCACAATTGGTAGGAAGTAACCCTTGGAGACAGGGGGTGGCACACACACACACACATTCATATATAATTACACACATAGATAGATACCGTATAGATTTATGCGTGCACCCTTTTTGAGGTTTTCTTCACTGCCACTGGCAAATGGCAATGCTTGTGCTTGAAGAAATTCTCCACTTTGTCTCCAGAACCCTGTTTTTATTGCAGGAGCAGTTCGTAGCGTAGCAGTTCCACTACACACTTGCCACCGTTCCCTGCGCACTTTCTTGCCAAGATTTCCAAGTCATGCTGTACCTTTTGGGGGCCCTCGCCTGGTCCTTGTTGTCGCCACGTATTGCTTTCAAGACAAATTGCATGGCCCTTTTTCGAAGGGTTCTGTGACGCCGTTGCCTCTCAGATACCCGGTGCCCAAGAGACGCGGCCAGTCTGAGAGTCTTCAGAACCACCTTCTCCCTTCTCCACAGGCGACGATGAGACCCATGCCAGCAGAACCTTCAGTGGGAACCACAACTACTTCGCCGAGGCCGTAAAGAAGAAGCGCTCGGGTCCCGATGGATCCGGGACCTCGGTGCGGGACCTGCTTCGAAATCCGGTCGATCGGTGGCCCAACAGGTCTCCCTTTATGTGGAAGCAGTGATGCACAATTGCACCCTGCAAGCCGAGTCCTTCGGAGAGGCGCCGGGCCTGTGGAGTCTGGGAGTGGACACCTTTGTTGCGTCAAGAAGTCAGGGAAAGAAAAGACACGAAGGGTCTAAAATGGTCTAAATGAAACGACAGGAACAGAAAGAATCATAAAGAATCTGACTTTGCCACCGTGTATTTGAGTCGTTTAGACTGACAGAGCGCCCCGTATCTGTGTGTGCACGGGGCCGCTGCAGAGGTCTTTGTCCTGACGGGCTCCAAGCTGGCTTCAGTGCTGAGCCTTGTCCTTGAAAAAGAGCATCTCGATATCCAGATGGTTTGGTTTCAACATGGGGCACTTACACTTAGCACATGTTTTTGCACACATTCCCGGCCCCTTATTTGGGGACACCACACTAATCAGTCCACACCCAATCGGAGGGAACGTTTCAAGAGTGAACCACCAAGGGCATCAGTCTTGTTTGGGTTTCCTTCACATCCAGCAAGGCTTGAACCATAGCCATGTGGACTTGCTGTGGACTTGTTACCAGCGTCTATTTGTGCTCTCCCGTTGTGCTCTGGTGACGACGTCAGGTTCGGACCGAAGGTGAGCCCTTCTCGGACCTTTTTGGAATTCTTGTACTGGGGGATTTGTGTGCAGATGCAGGGGGTTTCTCAAGTACATTTTATGAGGGGTGTGCTGCGTGCTGTCATCGTGCAATACACTGAATCACTTTGAAGTAACTACCCAGCCCACGCTCCTAGCAAAAAAACCAGGCAATCTCGGCAATCTCAAGAACATCTGTGATAAAGAAGGAACATCCCAGTTTAGTTTTTGAATGCAGCTGCAGATGTGTCCAGTGGCATCAGACCTCAGGGCAAACTCTCCGATGTGCACCACGATGTTCATTGAATACGCCAACCAGCACCTCGGCAGCCAGCGCAAGACAATGATCAACTTGTGTTTGTACCCGTCAACCAGCAGCTCCTTTTTGAAGGGCGGCATGTTCCATACACTTAGTTTTGGTAGCTGAAGACATGGACTGCTGTGCGCATTTGATTTTCCTGCGTCAGCTGCTGTGACCCAGCATTTGTTTCTCTTTCCCAGTTCTTGGCATTAGCAATTCCACCGCAACACAAGCAAGTGGATCATACTTGTTGCAATGTTTCGCACAACATGAGGGGAAGCCAATGGCCTCGCCACATAGTGTGGCGGTTCTTCGTCTCACCCATTATGCCATTGCGAACGCCCACGACGCGCGGGTCTTCTGAGAGACGCCCAGTCTCGGTGCCATTGTGAGGTACATCCGAGCCTACTCCGATGCGATGAGCCGGAAGGAGCATGACGATGCTTTGGAAATGGAGAGGGCCTGTGCTTCAAAAGCGACCTTCACAAATTCGCTGCTTGGCTGCGTGACACGCAGACGCAGGAGATTTCGGCGGTCGTGTTTTTGTTTTTTTCTTCATTTTTGCCTCAGACGAGTCACTGTCCCGCATGGATCACTGTGCATGTTTGGTCTCAAGGCTCGCCAACAAGATGTTTGCGGCAGTTTGCCTGGTATCCTTCACCCTCCTTCACCTAGTGTTTGTTTTCCATTTGTGCCAAGCTGGTAACCCTGGTATATACCCTTTATGAAGCCGATGATAGTGGATGACTCATTGAGTTATGAGTGTGACACTCGCATCTCTCAATCACTCAGACACCTTGAGGGCTGACTTCCACCAGGAGCCAGTCAAAATGTGCTGTTTCCCACGTGCACGACCAGATGAGCGAAGTGCTCCCCCTGTTCTCCCCGCATGTTTGACAACACAGGTTCTACATGGATTTGAACGTGGATGAGCGCAGCTCGTTTCTGAACTCGTTTGGATTGAGTGAATGGGAATTTTCTTTGTGTGGACACCTTGGTTGGTTTCCAACGTATGATGCGCATATCAATCAAGAGTTGTCCGCGGGTAGAACTCACGAGTGAGACAGACAAAGGGGACAGTGTTGGACTTGGTTGATACGTCAGTGACCGTCACTAGTGCACGCCTTTCGGGACTTGAAGTGCCCTCCCCATCCTTTGCAAAGTTTCTATAGTGCACGCTTTCGCAGGTGCTTCACTCAGCCCAATGGTTGCATTCAGCTTTCACCCGGGTCTCTGCCAATGCGGGACCACTTCTTTCAGTCTTGAAAGTTCTTCAAGATCTGAGCTTGGTGTCCCCCGCTGTCCATGTTTGAGCTTTCGGTACTTTCCATCCCGCCGTCCCGCTGCCTGTGAGGGAAGATGCTCAGATCAATTAACCTAAAGGAGCTGCAAGAGCAGGAGAGAGAGTTCTTTGTGATGGGCCAATGGAGTGGCACGTGGATTGGGAGTGGCATCAATTTCTGCAAGATGGGATTCTTTCAATGCTTATGTGGCAGTTAGACCAATCAGCCGAACACCCTTGGTGTGACTTACGGACCCGTTTTGATGAGTGGATGAGGCGGTCTCACCAGTCGCAGGAGGACCGGTCAACGCCCCTGGAGTTTGTTGAACAAGTGCTGAGGAGCAATCAACCGCAGCATGGCCTCAGAAAGGGTGGCGTGGTGGTGCTCTCAAGTCCTTTTTCAGGGTGGCCGGGCCTAGTTGGTGAGCACTAATCGCCTCTCTGTTGCAGGTGCACATACTAACCACCGCTCTTTTGCAGGTGTGCATAGCTGCAAAGACATTCAGCAACCTGTGGCAGATGTAGATTTGACATGATTTGACCTGCTTCAACTATCACACACTGTCCCCTTAACTTTTATGAGGGCGTTTCTTGATTCAGTGTGCATGCGTGGAGCAATTCATAAGCCAAGTGCTAAAGTGACTTTTGTCCCTTTGAAGTGGTGGAGTGGTTCAACTCTTTGCACCAGCTCCAGCTCCCAGCTCTAAGGGAATTCCTTGACCAGCTGCGCAAGTCCTTTGTGGAGCTTGACACTGCTGATGGCCTTCACACAAGGCTGTTCCATGCTGTTCGTGGGGATTTGTTTGCGGGGGTCTTTTGACTTACCGTATCACGCATGCCGCATGACCATCCTTCACCACCGAGGGCGTTCCGTCGCATGACTTGCCCGGTGGGAAGCCCACGGCAACTCAGCGAGGAGCGTCGCCAGCGAGGTACGGCGAGCTCAAAGAGCAAGAAAAGGTCGAGAGCGGCATCCTGAGCTTGGTGGCCTTGGCGCGAGGCGACTACGAGGTGCCAAGGGCGTCGGGTGGTGAGACAGGTGCCATGGGTGCGATGAACAGGGGAGCAGGTAGAGAGACGTTCGGACAGAGAAGCTTTCCTTTTTGCAGCCGGCTCTCACTGTAGACATTTGCAAGTCTAGGTGAACTTGCAGAGATCTTGAAGGTTTGCACGTGTTCCTGTGAATGTGTTTGTGTGCGCGCGCGCGAAAATCTATAGGTTTGTAAACCGTTTGACTTTTGTTATTTTTGTATTCCCTGGTTCTGCTTCTCTGATTCTTTGCATGTTTGTTTTTCGCTTCTTTGTTTGTTTGCCTTTTTGCTTGTCGACGGTTCTTCTTGCTTTCTGCTTCTCTACCTTCGTGCTTCTCTGCTTTCTTGCTTGCTTCCTTGCTTCCTTCCGCTTGCTTGCTTCCCTTGCCTTGCTTTGCTTTGGCTTGCTTGCTTGCTTCCTTGCTTCCTTCCGCTTGCTTGCTTGCTTCCTTCCTTGCTTCCTTGCTTGCTTGCTTGCTCGCTCGCTTGCTTGTTTGCTTCCTTGCTTGCTTGCTGGCTGGCTGGCTTGCTTGCTTCCTTGCTTCCTTCCGCTTGCTTTGTTCCTTCCCTCCTTCCCCTCCTTCCCTCCTTCCCCTCCTTCCCCTCCTTCCCCTCCTTCCCCTCCTTCCC